ACAGTGAGTCATTAAAATATATGTTGTGGAGGATTAAATTCTTTCTTCTGGTTGAATTGCTTCCAGGCAATGAGGAAAAGTCAGCCAAGTAGCATATCATGTTAAAGAAATCTCAGATTTTGGCAAGTTTTTTCTGGGGTGTTTTTGGTTTTGTTTTTTCCTTGGTAAATATTCCTAAAATTTGACTTTGGGAATAACAAAGTCACCTCTGCTACATGAAAGGTGACAGCAAGGGAGTGGGTAAGCAGGGCATGATGATACTGGGTGGCACTGGTGTGGTATTTAGTCATTTGACCGTCAGTGAACATCAGTGGTAAAGTATCGTATGTTTCTTAACTCGGATGTGAGTCCTTGTCACCCGAGATCAGCAGTTTACTAAGTCGTTAGAGTGAGAAGAGCTATTTAAAGAGGGAAAATGTTTAAGTCCAGAATTTGTTTCATGGGATGTCAGGCTAGTACACAGAGAGACTCATTTGAGATCATTATCAAATAAATAGCCGTCTATAATTTTCTTATACAGATCTGTAGATGTAGAATTACAAGAAGGAGATTTTAGTGATGACACTTCACCTATATACCCTGGCCATTTTTGTTTCATGATAGAGCCATTACGTTTACATGAATCTCAAAAACTACAGGGTGTCCTTTTCAAATAGCTTCCATATTTCTGTGTTAAATAACATTTATATAAATTTATATATTTATATTTATATAAATATAACATTTTATAAATTGCTTACTCCTGAGGTGGCAAGACGTGAATAGGTGTGTTTAAAGCAAAAAAACCTAAATCAGTAGTGAACTTCTTTTATCATTAGATAAAGAATATTTTCTGCAAAAGTGAATGGCTCTTAATTGCATAAAACTGAAGACACACAGAGTTGAGTTTTACACATGTATAAAATAAAGCCATTCGGACCTACCTTTTTATTTTCCCAGCAGACATGTAGAAAAATCGTTGCAATTAACACTGACCCAAAGGAAGCTGGAAATCACAATCATATCTCTATGTTTAATGATACTTAAGCTTTTCTGTTTTAACACATGTGAATTTGGGATAAGGTCAGTATAGTTTATATATGAAGAGAGATGCCAGTTTTGAAGTGTTTGGAAAAATATTTGGGTATGGATTTCATTTCCTTTTTCTAGAATGCTAGTGCTTTGTATCTCAGATCAGCAATAGAAGCAGAAGAGATCTCGATTATTCAACCTAAATGAATAATTGGTTTAATTAAGGGTCTTGAGTAAGTGTGTACGATGTGCTAGTGATATAAAATAACGTAAAGGATTTTTAAAAATTTCAGTAGGTCTTAAATTTGAGGGTTATTTTTGTCAAAGAAATGTCTCCTAACAGTCTGTGGAAAATTTAATATGGCTTTATAGGGTGTTTCAAGTACCCAAGATCCCAAGTATCAGAGGTTAACGTTCTTTGAGGATGTGTTTGTGCTTGGTTGTTCTCAGAAAAAGTACAGATCTCTCTCTGGAAATCTTCAAGAAGGCACTGTGAGAGTAGAGTTTTTGGTGTGAATTACATGAACATTAAAAATGTCATGGTAATTTCCATAAAGTGAGAGCCTGACCCCGTTCTCACTGACTTGGGGTCCTGTTTCCCTTGAGTAAGTGATGTGTTGTCACTACACAATCACTACAATACGGTGGAGTTGTCACATGCCAAATGTTACTCCAGCAGATCTAAAAGAGCCACTTTAACTGACAATTTCTGACAGTCAAATATATATCTGAAAGGACTGCAAAACTGTCTGACCTTAATAGAATTTTTTGCCACCTAGAGTGAGGCATATTTGATTTTTTTATTCATTATTTTACATTTTCCAATTTTATGGTGTTGACAAGAATGGTTCCTGTTGTAATTTGTCATTCTGTAATTTCTTGAGATCAGATCTAGGGTTGCCAACAGAATTTTTGGGTTCAACTAATTCTTGAAATAACTAACTAGTTGATTAAATTTAATTTTTTTCCTTGAAAATGTCTTGTCTGAAAGATAAACATCAGTTTCTATTGAACTGAAAATTATTTCGCTGTGTACAATCTATGGGGAAAACCTGTGCTGCTGAAATACAAACAGTATAATCATTGTCCTTAAAACCAGAAGGGTTTAAGCTATTAAATTCTGATAAAGAACATTAATGCATGGAGTTTACACCTGCCTGAGTGTGCGTTGGTGATAATAAATTCAAACACATGGAAATACTTCATAATATAAGGTTTATATTGATTTTATGGAAAATTTGTCCAGGGTAATTTGTATAAACTTGCAAAAATTATGCAGGACTCTGCTATTCATATTAGCTTGTAAGTAATGGTGAATAACTTCTTAATGGCTAACTGGGCTTTTAGTTTCTTACTGTGATTTAAAACTTAATTTATTGTTTCTGATCTTAATGTTTACTATTTTGTAGTCCTAAAGATAATACAATAATTGTTGTAAATCATGGCATAAAGTAATTGCTGTTGAATCTTACTATTGAAAATGAAGATGGTGACAGCAATAACTTCTTCCCTAATTGAATTTTTTTTTTTATGTAACTTTAAATGTTTTTATGCTTGACTATTGTATATCCAAAGTTTCATACTCAGATAGAGAATGAGTATAATTGTAGTCAGTGCTTTTAATAATTAAAAAAAAAGGTTAATAATTAAAAAGTCAGGTTTTCTCAGGAATGTGCCAGAGAACCCACCTGTATTGACAGGGAGTGAGAATCTACTTGACTACAAATAAAACCAGTTCCTTTTCGAAGGATGGGCACGGGTCAGTGCTTTTCCAATCGCTACAGAACAGCCCCGTTTACAGCCATGTTGCACCAAACACCTGCAGCCACTGGGATTGGGGTCGCAATGATTTGTGTGTCTCCTGCAGGAGTTTCCAGGCTTGTGGTGTGGAGGAGTCTCAGGAGTTCAGAGCAGGTTGTGACTGATCCTCCTTTCTTACCTGCTTTCCCTTGATTTGCATTTGATTCGGAGCTGCTTAACCACTGGTAGATTATTTCAATTTCCCTGGTGAATAATGCATGAGGGTTTATAAGTGGATGTTCCTTGGCTGAGTGGGCTGCAGATGAAAAGTGTCAGCTCCTTTGCAGCATTAATGTGCATTTTTTTTCTCAGGTTAAAGCTGTAGAGAACCTAGATATGCTTTTTTGGGGTAACTCCTACAAATGCCAAAATATTGGCAACGTTTGCTTTTTTCCTTTTCTTTTCCATTTGAATACCTGTTATTACAATGAAAAAGCCAGTTGCCAATTTTCCATTAGGAGTTTATTTTCCTTGGGACTCCCCTTCAAGATTTCAGTGTTACGTTGTTGTACCTGCTGCTCAAGCTTCCTGAAAACTATCAGGAACAGGTTTTTTTGCTTGTTTTTCTGCCACTAAGGTTAAGTTGTTTTATTGGAATCAGAACCCTGATTCCTTTCCTGCACAAGGAAACTTGAGGCACAGTGACATGCAATTCTTGTGTGTAATATGTGCAATGGTTCATATAGATAGATCTAAACACATTGAATGCTGTAATAATTGAAGCAACACTTAAACCCACCCATGATCCACTTATTAGGAAAACCACTTCAAATTTTTCCCTTATTAGTTTACTAAGGAGCATTTGAATATCTTAATATATACTTGTTTCAGTCTTTGGGTCAGTAGATCTTTTCTCCTTTTTCAGCTTCTTAGAAAATATCATTTTATATGCCAGAATGCTAGAAAATTAAAGCACAACCATTGTTCTTGTTTGCTTGTGGTTAAGCTTCTAATTATGGGACATCCATTCAAGATAATAATTTGATCCCTAAAATATCAAAACTCTGAAACTTATGTCGTGGACCAAGTGGTTAAATGTGAAAACTTCCAGGGATGTATCTGACATATCAAATACTTTGGAAAATGGTGTTTGATATAGGAGTCCTGTGGGAGTATGGTTAGAAAGAACTTCCTAAAATATGGAATCATGCTACGAACAAAACAGTCTTATAAAACAAAATCATAAAATTATAAAATAGAACTCTTCCAGACTCCTCGAATGTAACAATATCCCTTGAATTTACAAACATCTAGACGTGAACTGTAGATAAACATATTGTAAAATAATGCTTTTAGACTAAAGTTAGTCTGACATTTCATAAGATAAAAGATTGAAAGCGTGTGAAATTGTAGAGGTTGTATAGTAAACAAGGCATAGAGCTATGCAAATGTTTATAAAGCAGATCTAGATTAATAGCTGTGGTAACAGAATTCTGTAAATATTCAAAAACCATCCTATGAGTATTTTGTGGACTTTTTATAGTATTTGATGTAGAGATGCTGAAAATTGCAGAGAAAATATTTGGCAGAAATGCACATTCTTAGAAGGGTTGGTTTTTACTGGTATCACATTGTACAATATGAATTCTCAAAATATAACCAAAGAATAACAGAGAGGAAAAAAGAGAAGAAATATTTTGAGAAGTGGTGATTTAACTTTGAAATAATTACAAACCCTGCTCTGAAAGCCATTTTCCAGAAAGATAAATGATCTTTTTGTGATGGTGATTCTACGATTCCAGTGCTCCTGGGGCAGGGAGGGGGGTGGTGTTGGTGTCTTGTCCACCGCTACAGAAAGTGGTCCCTGAGTTTCACATCTGTAATTCTGAATGCTGCAGTTAAAGCAGTCTTCTTCATTGTTCCAGGTGTGTCACTAAGATATTCCAGTCTTCCATACCCTGTGTCACCTTCCTCTGCCATCCTTAATCACGTTTAACATTCTTCATTACCTTCCATTACCTCATTTTCATTTCCTCATTTCACGTGCAAAGCAGCAAGGACAGCAGAGGAGGAGAAACTGAGAGAAACTAGTTTGCTTCCTCATCTCCTCTAAACGTTTCTTTTGCTCACTTTTCCATTTTCAAGCGCTTCGCTTACATAAACTTCTGCTTTCAAATTTTCCCCTTAAAATCCAATTCTGATACCTAACTTCTTTTTGATGTTGCCTTCGTTCCTTGCCCTTCTTAAAGGTTCCTGCTTCCCATATCCAAGTAGAAGTCCCCGGAATCTGTTGCTGGCAGGTAAGGGTTGATCCATGGTAAATTTTCAGTTTGGGGGCAATAGTTGGAAGGTCTGATTTTGGTGCTCTTATTCCTCATGAAGAAAAATTAATGAAACACAGAGGTATTTTAAGAGCATAGCTTTCCCATGAGGAAAGGCTTCACATATTCTGTTGTCTTGAGCTTATTTAACTTGGTGGTAGATAAAGAGGGTCTTTATTAAAGATTTGGGGCTGGAATGACTCTGGACTCTATATGTGGGCCTCAGGACATTGAAAAGATGGATGGAATAAAGAAAGTGTTATTAGTATAAGATGCTATTCGTTGTGACTAATAGAATAATCTCTTCTTAATTTGTTTTGTACTATGTCCATGTATATGAAATCATACATCTAAAGTAGTGATTAAACATTGTATTATTCCAGTCAATCTGTCAAACAGAATGCTAGGGGGCTGCAATTTATTGAGATATTTGAGAGTAACACACTCTTATTTTAAGAGTGATGTTACTGTAAGGAGTACTGGGTATTCATATTGTCAAGGAAAAATGATGCAGTTCAACGCCTCATATCACAGTCTTCTTGTGGATGACATTTCAGCAAGGATTCTGTATACAGGTAGCTTACTCTATGTGGGAAAGGCAATAAATGTACAGCAGAAAAAGGCAGCTTTGGTTAGAAAATTTCTGCATAAAAAATAAATGTTTTATGATACAGACGAAATCAGCAATTTACAAATGTAAGCAGTCAGAGCAATAGATTGAAAGAGAGACTAATATTCATTAAGATTTTTTTTTAAACTATATAACTGCAGATTAGGATGGTCATTGCAATAAATGGGGTAGTCTCCCATGTATGGTTCTCACTATACCTGTCTTCCATCCACTATAAAATGTAATCTGTTTAATTTTGATGCAGTTTTTTGTGAAAACCTCAAAACACATTGATTTTAATATTTTTCATATGTAATAAATAGGAGACTAAGTATGTATAAATATTTGAATGAATACAGATAGGTTTTTTTACAGGTTCTTTTAAGAGAATAGTTATTGCTTAATGGATACTGATATCTTACTTTGTGTTAGTATATTGGTATTTTAATGTGGTTTACAATTCAGTTGTTACTAGGAAGACCCCAAATTTGATCAAAAAATGTAGGCTGGATTTTTTTTTAAGTATTAAAAAATAACTGCTTAATTTTTATTAAAAACCAACAGAATCTGGGCATAGAGGTCCTTTTGTACATCTGAACTTTGGAATTTAATTGAGACAATATCCTCAATGCTGCCCTGAGATTTGCAAGGTGTCCGCATGAGCCATGCCGAATTCCAGGGACTCTGCAAAGTAGGAGAATGGTTGTAGAATATATGAGCTCAAATCTACCATGTTTGTTCTTGTAAAATATTTATCAAGAACAGTTTAGAGAAGGAAAACTTACATAAAGAGTTCTTGTAGGATGCCTACAGCCAGCCCACTTGTCTGTGGACATGTGTACATATATCTGGGTATATGCATATCCATTTTTTATGGTGCAGTGAGTAACAGAAGCCATTTTAGAGTAATTAAGTTTCAAAACTTGAAAAAAAATGCCTCAAATACTTCAACAAAAGAACAACAAATCTTAGATTTTTCAGTGTCCTTAGCATTATCAGAAGTATAAAGGAAATGTTAATCATACTTTGTTATTTGAAGTATATTTGCTTGTCCTCTTCTGTCACTTTAACTGTACTTTATCTTTTTGTGGATCTGAGTTTCAGAAATGACTAATAGTTTGATGCTGGATCAAAGGAAGTATTTTCAGAGCTGAAATACATGTTGGAGTAGGAAAAGCCACATTCACACTTTGCTAGAAACCAAATAAACTTTTAAAATCAGTAGGGATGAATTAACCAATACTTATTCCATCCTGAGTGTAAGACATAATTCCGATTGCTTTTTTTCTTAAAAGCTTGCATAGTGTGTTTTGGAGGAATAAATCATACGGGATAGTAAAATTTGCCTCTGTATTGTGGAGAAAGTCAGATAATTCAGTTAAAGTCCTGGTGAGAGACATTCAGAATAAATTTCGTTGCTATCAGTTATCACTGTTAGGTCTCCAAGGGAAAAAAAATTACTCAGTGTGTAGTTACATATTACTATAAGAAATTGTTGGGGCGTAGATTCTGTTAGATTGGCATTTCTGAAGACCAACAGTGCCTGGTAACTGCAATATTGATAGGGTTGGCAGCTTCTAAGTTTGCCTACGCAGTGTTGACCCACTTAGAGCTTTTTAGAAATTTCCAATAACAGTTTTTTTATTTAGGAGAAGAGGTCAGTATTAGTGAAGTCAACATTTTAACGAAAATGTTTCAGTTTGGTGAACCTCTCAAATATTGTGTAGTGGCTCCTCTACTCTGTCCAATGTAGGAAGTTGTTATCTGTGCCTGGAGACTTGACAGTGAATCTCCAATCTCCCACCATCATTTGCTCATAGTTCCCCTTAGTACTTTCTTCTCCAGCCAGGCATCTTCCCAAGTGCATTTTATGTTAGTTCAGCCAAAGTGGTGGTGTGCTGTGCTGTAGCAGGAATTTTTTTAAGCCTTTCCCCTGAGCTCTAGCTAAAATATAGGATGTTTTCAATTCAGTTTCCTTGGGTTTTGTTTTTCTTGGTTTAAAGTTATAAAATAGTGGCTTTGGAGATTTTCCAAATTTTTTTTATTCAAACTATGGTACAACTAGGATTACAGGTTGTCAGAATCAAATTGTGCTGCGTTTTCTACCATGGTTACAGCCTTTGTAATGAAATGTATAGATGTACCGTGTTCTGTTTTTATTAGAGGTTGGAAATTATCTTGAGGACCTCTTAGTTCTGCTTAGTTTTATGACATTTTCTCTTCTTGTCAGAATCTGCCATGACAATTGCTTAACAAGGAATTAAAATCTCATGGCTTCTTAATTCTGCTCCATCTTTACTTGATAAAACGTTCATAAATACAGGGGATGGGGCACCAACTTACATCGATAAAAAAGGCACTGAGAGCTGATCTAATTCTTAAATCTATGACCGTGCAACTGAAGAGGAATTTATGCAAAGTATTTTTGGAATTTATACAAAATATTGAAAACCAAAATGCCTAAGTGTGTTACAAAACCAATAAGCAAAACTACTAGTCCTGCTTCTGCTAATTTGTGTCTCTTGAGCAGCTTTGAGCTGACTCGACTTAACTGATGGTTTAACAGTTCCCTAAGCCCAGCAAACTCTTACATCAGTCCTCCCTGTTTTAGGAGGCACAGCGAGAGTGAAAACATGCCTGAACTGTCCCCATCACCCAGGCACCCCTGACTGATGGAATGAGAAGCCCCACTGGGGAGCTCAGGATTAATTAGTGCAGCTTTGAGTCAGCCCCCAGATGAAGGAGCACAAAACTTGCCTGAAGTTGAGTTTGTGCAATTCTTTCCAGTGATCGTATGAGATAAATCAGAGTGAATTAAAGAGGAGTCTTTCAGAAGCTAGTGAAGGCATAGTTTCATAACTAAGTGTTTGAGAAACTTGTACCACTAAGGCTCGATAGTCACAAATCCTGTTATTGAAAGCAACTGACAACTTTCCAGTAACGGCTTCAAAGCTGTTAGCTGCCTTCTGTATTTGCAGAGGCTTCTCACTATGTCTAAGGGAGGCTACGCCAGGACACGTCTTTTGATATCGTATGACATTATGCAGTGCACCCATCACATTGCATCATCTTTGAAATAAACACTGCTCAGATCATGCCTTTGCCTTACATTAAAGCTTAATGACCAAAAATTGAAATTATACAATGGGAATGAATGGATTCCTGCTAGTCTTCTTTCTGTGTTTGGTTTCAAAAGCCAGGGTAAATAGAGATGGAAACGTTTAATCTTTGCTGAAATCAGCAATCCTAATGAACAGTTATGAAAACTCAAAGCTTCACCCTTTGTAAGCTCCTCGATGTTTTATTTTTCAATATTTAGCTAGGAAAAAACTGTTTGCTAAAGATCTGGTGTAATACAACAGCTAGTTGAATCTTATTTTTCCAATTTACTATCTTCCTGCAGCATTTTGTGTGGGTATTTGTATCCTGTTTAGCCTTTCATACCTCAAGCATTTCCAGCATTCCCTGTGAGAGTTTTTCACATCCCAGTGCCCCTCATTGTCAAAATTTAAATCAGTAACATTTTGATGTCATAAATGGACATAGGATTGCCAAATAAAATAAATAAATAAATAAATAAATAAATTTTTTTTCATGATACGAAAAAGGTCCTTTTATGCTTGAATGGAGATGGCATTGAGGTCAGCACCCAAGCTCAGAGATGGTTGCAGTAAGTCACAGTGTAGTATGAGGTCTGCTCCTAGGGGTTGGGTTTTTTTTTTTTCCTTATTTTGGTGGCGTACTACTACCCTATGTACTTCTCTCTTCTCATTTCATTCTGTGTAATGCCTGTGGAGAATTTCAGCAGTGACTTGCACAGTAAAATAACATCAGTAAATTATTTAAAATAGATATAGTGACTTTAGTGGGATTGAATAATTAAAAACCCTTTTAAGAAAAAGCCAGCTTGACAGAGACCTTTGGTGAAGTACCGAGAACCCTCGTTTGGGAACCAGTGGTTTGGCCAACACCCTTGAATTTTTTGGATTACCATGAAATTGTCAGCTGTTACAGTTACAGGAAGATCCTCTCAAGTTGCTTATAGTCTCAGGTGTCTTATTTACTTTCTTATCACTTGATAAATTCAGACCTAAATCATAATTGCACATTGTGATCATTAAAACATTACCTCTCCTTCTTGCCGTTGCTCTCTTCTAGATAAGCATTTAATAATGTAAATGAATCTAATAACTTGAGTGTGTTACTTTAAATAAGCAATATTTTATTAACAAATGCAGGCTTTTTGTATAAACTGTGAAATGCTCGCTCTCGCTGTGTACGTGCACATGCACACATATATACAGTTAGAAAAGCCTATGGCTGGCATTTTATTTTCCACCTATGTAGCTATAAATCTCTGTGAAGCCCA